GAACGGTGTATTGCATATACAAGCTGCTAAAGATTTAACAACCAAATACTCTGATGCACTGTACACACGTTTCATATTGCATAGGTGAATATTACCATTCTTTATCATCATTTTCCTAGTGTGCCCATCGCAATCAAATCATCAGCCAACGAAAAAATAATGCATATGAAGCAAACACCAAAAAGAACGAACGATGAACAATTTGCCAAAGAATCTACAGCCTGTGGCAGTTTCAGGCCTTAGCCTCCCGACATAGGGCAACCAAGGCACGAGCTGCTTACTCTCGCTGACCAGTTGTCTATGGACAATATCTCGCTCTTCTTGAAAGTCGCAACATGACCCAGTCACCTGGCAAAAGTCGCCAGCAAAAAAAACCTCCAGTCACCCACCGGGAACGGCTGGTCTTCGGACCAGTGCAGACGAACGGGCCGGTCTGGTGGCCATCTACCTTTTACGGGGGATTGCCAGCCACGCGGCGCCACACATTGGTGTGGGTGATAAATCCCGATTACTATCCACTGCCCTTCAATACCTTTCAGAAAAAAAAGAACAAGAACAACAATATGGTAACAAATATGCTATCAAATACTGATATCTGATATCTGATATTTCTTACCAACTCGAGAACCAACAGTTGATGTCGTTCCCACCAAATCTCTGCAACATGAGCAATGGAACCTTCATCCCCTCCACCAAAGTGCCTTACATGTACAAACATCCACCAGCCTTGAAGGCTTGAAGAAAACACCCAGAAGCTGCTACCCTCTGAAAAGGAGCAGTCTCTCCGCGCAAATGGAGCATCTTTGAATACATGTGAAAGGCATGCCAAGAGTGGGAAGTCTGACATGACTGTATGAGGCGAACTGCCTCGTGAAAGCAAAGAACATCGGCTTAACCAACTATATCATGCATTCCCGTCACAGAATGCTCCCACGAAACACAACAAGCCGACTTTGGAGAAACATAGATCATTTGAAGAAGAAAATGCAACAATGACACAAAACAATCAACACTTTCGGGGTCAATTCGTGGAGCTTCCCCCAGCTCCGCGCTTCCTGTATGTGTGGTGACCCCCCTCCGGCCACTGAGAAGAGCACTCCCATGTGCGGCCGGTGCGGCCGACACAGAACTGCCAATGTGCGGGACAGTCCGCACTGGAACCCAATGGCTGAAGCCAGTGTTGGTCGATGAGGGCGGGCAAGCTGCCAGTGTTCTCCAACACATTCCCAGACCATCCATGATCCATGTATGGCAAATTTACATCTATAATCCTCTATCTATACATATAATATTGATCTATATATATATATATATATTGGGGATGATTTGGAAAGTCTTCTTTCGGGGTCAGGACATCGCCAGATATCGCCAGGCTGGATGAAGGAGTGGATTCAAAAAAACAAAATGACCAAATCCATTGGTCCCTTCTTGGATTCCCAAAACCTTTTCTTGGAGGGTCTTCATTGGCATCCATCCGCAACGCCGCTCTTGGCCATTTCTGCGCTCTGCCGAACAGTTCGGAGTGCTCTATGTTCGCAAAAAAGAGGCCGCCAAAGGCCAGGGACACTGCTGCCGGCCTCCCTGCGGGGCTGAGCAGGGATTCAGACTGTAGTCATACTGCGTCCCTTGACATACCTCCAACTCACCTGACATGTTCCGGATGGTATTACCAAATGCAGGTCTATTAATTTCTATGGATATATAATATAATATACATATATATATATATTTATATGCCAGTATAACGACTTCTGTCCACTGGTAGGTTGTCTATTCTGTTCATGTTTAGCGGTCAACCAGGATCACGTTGATATATGGAACGTAGCATGTCAATTCAGCTCTCAACTATAAACTGGTGGTGTCCGGAAAATGCCTCCTAATTGAAAGGTGTCTGCACCATGTTGCGCAGCCCCACAAAAAAATGAGCGGCCACTTCCAACTGATGGAGTGGCACGAGATAGTCGAAAAGGAAAGTGCCGCAAGCACTGTGTCAAGGGGTTCAGCGTCAGTCGGACAGAACGACTCTCCGCCAGGTACACGCTTGAAGGAACAAGCGCTGTTGGTGCTGGGTGTTGCGGGGCCTGGTGCAAAAAGAAACTATTCTACCAGGACCCTCTAAGGGGTGTCCAATGGACTACCCCACACTACCTATAGGCTTCCATTGGGCACCCCTTAGAGGGTCCTGGTATGCGGATTCATGGACAAAAACGTTCATGAGGATAACTTTTCTATTATATGTGGTTCGATCGATTGAAACAGCCCTGTGTCGTCGCATGATTACCAATATCTGTGTTGAACATCAAACAAAAACTATATACCTATTACATGTTTAAAATCCCTATTACATGTCTTAAAACATCTTAATTAAACCAGTATTAGCTCCCCGAATGTGTTTTAAGTTTTATATAACTACTATCGTGTATGGTTTATTTCTGCTCCACTGCCGTGGGGCGAGGATGTGAGTGATCAGTGTCCCTGTGAGGCAGATGCATCTGTGCCCCCTGCAGCAGGTAGGCAGCGCCTCGCCAGAGAAGTCAGGAAAGCTGCGTTCGCTTGCTGTAGGATATAGTCCAGCGGAAGTCCGCATATGTTTCTGTCGACCAAAGGATAGCAGCAGCGGAGGAAGGGCAGCAAGGACTCTCGGACAAGTGTCGGCAGTCACAAGCACCAGCAGAATATCTGCAACAGGCGCGCGCAGTTCCTGCAGTATTGGGTTTGCGCTGTCCACTGGACTGCTCGGGAGAAGCTTACATCACGCGCAAGGGCATCCTCCACTTCGGACAATCATCTTCGCCGCCAGGGCCAATCACCATCATCATCATCATCATCAGCAGCAGCAGCATCACCATCACCATCATCATCATCATCATCATCCTTATCGTCAGGACCATCACAGTCATCAACGCCACATGATCTTTATCAGCATAATAATCATCATCAAGATAATAATAGTAAACACAAAACAAAACAAACAATCATCATCATCAGCCGCAGCAGCAGCAGCAGCAGCACCATCACCATCAGCATCTTCGCTTTCATCATCACAGTTTTCAAATGTTGTCGACGCAAATGCCAAAGCAAAGCAGGCCAACATCATTTGGTTATATGGGGTGATTGAAAAATATAATGTTTGATTGAATTAACGTGGTATTATAAACCTATATGATTCCAACACATCTAGTTTTGCAGGGTAAGCCGGGTAAGCCTTAAACACCTGCTTTCTCATCTATTTCCACCTTATAACCTGAGAACATACGGCTCTTCAAAACGCTAACGGAAACAAAACAAGTACAGTCAAACACCTGGCGTCCCACGCCAAAGCGACAGGCCCATCGATTCGATGAAAACGCTAACGGCGCTGCGTTCGATGTTTCGTCTGCAGAAACCAGCTGCTGTAAGCAAACGAAAGACATTGATTCCAAAAGATAGTTACTTCCACTTCGCAAAATATGGGTTCTTCATGTTTCTTCCAAAAGATATGTTTCTTCCAAATAACAGTTGGATCTTGGATCTTCCAAAATATGCGAAACACGCCGCGCTTCTCCACCAACCGAGGCATCCGCCTTTGTACGCCGTTGTATGGCTTTGTGAAGTTCGAGCGGGCGCCTGGCCTGCCTGCAACGATGCTGTCGCTACTAAATCCTAGTTTGCACTCGGGACAAAGGGACAGGGAAAGGAACGACAGCATTGAATTCCCAGGTCACACCCCGCCCAAAAGCCAGGCGCAGAACCTCCCGCAGCCACTAAACCCCAGGTCGCCCAGCCCAACGGAGCAAAGAACTAGCAACTGTCCCAGGTCGCAGCAGGGAACCAGCCACAGCAGCTGGAAATACGTACACTAGAGAGAGAGAGAGAGATCCTCCATAGTTGAAGAGTAGCAGCTCACTCTTCATTCTGTGGTCAGGGATAGGCCCGAGCCTGGGGGAGGGCGGGTTGAGTTTCACTCGCGGGTGTGACCTTGAGTTTAGTTGCTGTAGTTGGATTTAGATGGATTTAGGTGCTATTCCGTCCCCCACTACCTCATCACATGTGCACTTGTTCTCACAAGGAGCCCAAACACTTACCACACACTTACCTATGAGGACCCGGGTCAGGCCATGCTCAGACCCAGTTCAGACCTTGTTCAGGTGCGATCCAGGTCGCAACCTCAGCTCTGTACGTCGGGCTCCTTGTCCCTTCCTATATGTTACGATAGCGATATGGGTCGACAGTAAGAGCACAAAGTTCTGGCTGAAGAGCTGAGCTTTACCCATGTAGCCTCATAGCCTAGATGGGTTTACCCATGTAGAATCCCACGGCCACCATACAGTAGTGTGGATATTATGTGACATTGTGTGGGTGCAAACACCAAAGAAAAAGACATCCCAATCTAAAGTCTAATTTTGATCCCTTCTCTTGTTCTTGATGCCCGCTTAAGAATATTCTAGACTCTACCACCCATAAACAGTGTTCATATGTTCTCTTATGTTTTCTTAATATAAGATCTTAACCAGCAGTCACAAAGGGGTGCCATTGGAGGATAGGGGTGCCCAGTATCCACTCACTTAGGGACTAAACACCACCCCTTTGTGACTCCTGGAAATTATCTTAATATACCCTAGGGCTCCAGTCGTACCTCCCCAGAAGGTATGACTGGACCCTCCTGGCACCCACCCCAGTCCCACCTTCTTAGGTACGGTCCGACTGGAGCCCAAACGGGATAAGCTTCAGCCGCAGAACATGGGACGTTTCTCCAAACATCTCCAGACCGGACGGGGGAAGCGAACTGTCGCCCCAGGTCTAGGCGAAGAGTCACATGGATGGTCAACGGTTGACGCTTCACAACATTCGATGGCTCAAGAACTCTGACGGCTCGAGAGTAAAAGTGGTGACAGATTTAGAAAGGGACCCAAAACGCCGGGATTCGGAGGAGGCTTGAGCTCTTTGTTTTCGGAGGTCAAACCTCCATCTTCTCGCAAAGGGATCTGTCTCAATCATTTGATCTCATCATGACTTGTATTTCGTCGGATCCTCGGACGCTGCACCCGGCGACCCCATGAACCGACTTTGCCGAGGGGACATGAGATATATCACGCAGCACCACGCAAATGTACTACCCTTTTGAGCAGCAGGCGTGTGTCCAGGGTAAACAGAAGATTTCGACTTTGGCTCAAGCAAACCAAATGTCTGCTTGATCCAGCATCGGTGCCAAGCGCAAGGAAAAGCGCAGTATGCCATGGTGGGAGTCCGTCAACTGATTGCTGGCTCCTCATTTGTCACAGGTAGCCATATCCCAAACACTCCATGAGACTGGAGAATCTATTGCCCCAGAAAGACCCCCAGGTCACCCCTGGCCTGATCGGGAGTCATGTGAGTCTGGGTCTGGGATCGTGTACTCCACGAGTCTGAGGTCGGGTCTAGAGGAGTCAGGAGTGAACACTATGAACATGTCCATCCTACAAGGTGGAATTGATGGGGAAGGATTTTAAACTGTCCTCCTAGCGACAGTGTGGTGACCTGGAGAAGACAAGCCGGCACTGTTACGGGAACAATGGTGCCAAGGTTTGCATGTTCAGAGTTACCACATGTTACCACCATTCTTCAATGGGTTGCCGTATCCCAAGCGGACAGCCAACGTGCTCGGCTTGTCACCATGGATGCTTCTCAATTCATCAACATGCGCGGAATGCTGACATCGATGCTTCTTCCGTCAGGCAGCCGAAGACGGCAGCCGTCCCTCGCGCTACCCGCGCCGGGCACGAGTGTGGCACGAGCAGCTCAGCCAAAGCAACAGCTTGCACCATCATCGTTGCCAGACTTGACCCAGGCGTTGGAGGCCAACACCTTGGGTTTTTCCCACGCATCTGTCGCCGTGGGTCATGGCACCCGGAACCCGTTTAAACCTGGTAGATTGACCTAAGACCTGCGGCAGAGCGCCAAGACTGGGTGGTGAGTCAGAAGTGGTGAGTCAGAAGCTGAAAGAATAGGAACTTCAGTTCGTGACCGACCTTGATATCCTCAAACCGAGGTCACTCAGTCACTGGATGGCCTGGGCCTGTAAAGGTCGCTGGATGAGATTCCACAGAGATCACTTTGAAGCTTGGTTCTTTCGAAAAAGAACTTCCTTCATCTTCCTTCTCCCTACAGCATCAGCCCCCAAATGAGAAGGCCTTCTCAGGGGCAAAACATGTGCGGCAAGTGGAAGTTGTAATAAGGATGCGCGGTAATTAGGACAGCAAATGGACATATATAGCCGCTGTAGCCGCTTTACCATGCAAATTAAGCTTATTGCCATGTCGTGTATAGTTTAGTACATGATTGCCATTCCGTGAAGGATTCGCTGCACTCCATCTTGGGCTCTCTTGCCGTCGGCTTGTGCGTCTAAACCCGTGAAACTTGAGACTCAAATGGAGTCTTCTACCAACTTCTTCATCTTCACCTGGTTCTTCAAAGTGACCTTTTGATAACCTGGTTTGAGGTCACTTAAGCTTCCTAAGGGTCACTTAGGAACCTTCAAAAGGTCACGTACTGAAGAAGCTGGCAGAGTGAGACAACAAACACATCAACCCACCAGGTGTCCTCGTCCTCCGACACTGGTCTCGACCGCCCGTTTCCCAAGAACGCACCGGTCTCGACCGGATGTCGTGCGGTCGATGATGGAGATCACCATCGGCCGGTCCGTGCGGCGATCCGCGGGAGCGAACGAAACGCTTGGGGTGAAAAGAGGACAGCAAACAGCCAAATGATGGCCCAAACACCCACCTGTTTGTTGTGTGAAGCCCAAACAAGAAATGTGTTCAGTGAGTGGAGAAGCTGCGAAAAGCACCTGCTCAAGCTCCAAGAGGTCTCCTCTGGTGGCTTTTGGAGACTTTTAAAGTGGGTGATGACCTGTGGGAGGGTGCTGGCAGAGATCAATAGCGCGACTGCGATCCCAACGTCCGCCACAGCCAGATTAAGCAGTGGTCAGTGGGTTGACTAGAGATGAACAACGCCTCCATATTAAGATGTATAGAACCATTCTGGTAGGGGGATATTTGAAGGGGGTCTTGGGCTCAGATATGCTCAAATCGTGCTTTTGGGGGAAACCAAGGGCTGCAAAGTATTTCCGGGTGCGCCATCAAAGTCTCTTTCACACAGGAATCCTGAGGCTCGTATGCTTGATCACGAAACAACGTTCAATATCATGGCATCTGCCGGATCAATTGACCCCAGGTGAACTACCCCCCTGAACCATCATCGGTCTGAAATAGGGCAGTCTCATGGATGGTCTGGGAATGATCAGGACGCCCATCTTAGACTGGACACGCGGTCAGCCCAGACACCTCCCGTGCTCGAGGTCTCTTCTCCGGCTCTCTCTGGAGTAGCTGCTGCACCTAATAAGGATGGCAGGTCCAAAAAATACCATTTCGGAGACCTGTAGAGTAGGGTGCTGGTAGTTGGTCTCGAAAGTACGGAAAGTAAAAGATGTGAAACGTAAGTGTTCATTCATCGTGTCCAGGTCTACAGGCTTTAATTGCATACTATAATATCGGGTAGCTCAATATAGCTCTAACATGCTGAAAACCACTCCATGATTTCCCTTGGGCCATGTGCCAGTTGTTGATCAAAAACATTCAGAAACGGTTTTGACATGATTGTAATTACCCCAGACTACCTTGGAGGCAGGAATGCATCTTTGTGCGAATCAGTGTCAGGAATCATTCAGGTCTCGAAAACGGCGCAGCGCCCCAACTGCAGCGTCTGAAACCCTGACTTCACCGTCCACTCCGAGAAGGCGGCTGTCTGGCGACAGCCGGTCGGGCACCGGTGGGCGTCCGTCTGCACACGACATGTCGGGAGATCTCCAGACACCCCGAAATGTCCTAGAAGATGTCCCGTGTCTCATTTCCTGCTCAGCTCGGCACCAGTTCCAACACTTCTGGAGTCTTCAGTTTCCACCTCCTGCGACGTGGGCGTGGTTTCAGAGCTGCAGGCTCTGTACCCAGACTTGCATGTTCCAAAAGCAAAAAAGTGCAACCTTGCATGTGGGTGTAACGGGGTTCGAGCCCCCAACCGGTGAGTTTTGGTCTCTTGATTCCAGAGGATGATAGATGATAATAGTATGTAAAACTATTCCATGCATGGATGAGCTGTGATTGCTCATTCGCTCTGTGGCATTGCTTTTGGATCTGCCGCCCTTCTGCCCTTCTGCCTTCTCCTCCCGGTCACCACCGAGTCCAAGGTCCGTCCGCTCTCCACGGGGGACCCAACGGACTGGAAGAAGACCACAGGCAAACCAGCCGCACTGCATCGGTCATGTAGTCAAGTTAGACTCTTGCTTCATGAACCCCTCCAATTGGAACTGGACATTCTCTTAGAATCGTGTCATGAAGAATCCATGTCCCTCCCGCACAGGTCAAACATCATTCATGTCCCATCAAAAGTTGGGAGGTATCAGATGTGGTACATGGAGATCGACGTCGCCGTGTCGATCTCCTTTCATCGTAGGGTACAGTCCACTCCGGATCCTCCAAACCTCGGAGCGGAGGATCCGCGTCCGTAGCGCGGTGTCCGTAGCGCGGTCCGTATCGGTCCGTGGGGTCGGACGGACCGGACGAACCAACGCGAAGAGATCCGGAGAAAGACACGCGGGTTGGACGTCAGACTTCAGCGTAGGTCACCCTAGAATGCGATTGAAACACATATTAGGCCCCCTGTCCCCCACCCAAACCCCCCACCAGCTCACTCAACCAATCCGTTTTGGACACCAGTTTCAGGTGCCATGCGTCTATTTTCGCTGAAAAAGGGGGAATGGTAAAAGGTCAACTTCTGCCTTCAGCGCCACATTTTTTGGTACAAAACCACGGATAGGAAACCATGGAACTACCGGGTCCAGAGACGTGCATCAATCATCCTCCACTCTTCCAATTTTTCAACCATGCCATGGGAGGATTGATGGATATCGATGGCAAGGATGAAACCCGGAGCCTGTAGAGAGACCTGTGTCAGCTTTGCCAGACTTCCGTCCAAATCCCAAGGAAAGTTTCGTGGAAAAAAGGAAACAGTGCGCCGGATCGACGGGAAACGCGGGGAAACACTATGCAAACACCCCATGAAATGCTGGAGGTTGATCATACCTATCCGGTGAACGATGTTACCCGATTGCTCGGGTGAAGTCCAGCATCATCCTCTGGAACCTCTGCTCCGGTATTCCCCCGCGTTCACCCCAGGCCCCCACCCATCCCAGGACGTTTGAGGGTCCTAATAGATGGTCACTATAGGTCCACAGGTCTCCCATCCGGTCTCATCTGTGCAAAGGCGCAGTCTTGCATCTCATCCTCTGACATGTGCTGATTGCCTTTGTTCCATGGCTCCATACCTCCCAAGATCCGGTCTGACAACGAAGGCAACCACACCCGCACGAGATCGGGTCGGGAACGGCAACGGACACGAAACGCGCGAACGTCGCTTCAGGCGGAAGGTCCACTCTACCGCGAAGAGGCGCGGAGCATGAGGGCTCAAATAGGTGATCAGGTTGACCGGGAAACATGCCCAAACGATCCATGGTGGCCGAGAAAGAGTCTACCAGTACGATACTGATTTCGATTGATTTCATCTGATTTCAGTGTTGAAGAAGCACCCTTTGAAGCACCACATGATGCAGTTTCAAGATCCTGCAGGTACCAGTCTAGAGTGGTTTGGATCAACCATCCATCCCAGGAATCCGACCTCGGACTGTCTTGCACTGAAGAAGCTGCGTGTGGGGATTTGAGGGTCCGGACCCCTACTTAGCCCTACTTAGGAGGGTCCGGCCCCTACTTAGGAGGGTCCATGAGCGTCTGGCCATGTCAATTCCATGTCTGGTACAGCACTGCACTTCCCCATGCTTCGGGGAACGTCACGAACTAACCGCGCCGGAGGGGCAAACTGCGCACATGTAGAGCGTGATTCCAATGCTCCACATATCGCACTTCCTCGCCGTTGCGCGGAATCCTCCGTCTCGGGTTGGTCCCAGACCGGGAGAAGTCCAGGTGGGTCCCGGCGAAGGGGTCTTTCAAAGAAAGAACACTCCGGACCCGAGTCGGGCTCAAGTCCCAGATGGTGATTTATAGATGTTTTGCCAAAAAGGGTCTGTTGGCCTTTGAGCAGTTCTGAGGGGGATGTATTCTCCTTTGAGTGTGTGGACTTTCTCCCCAAATCCATGCTCCGTCCAGCGTCTAGGGTCTACACCTCTCTTCCCACGTGCTACCCACCGCAGTCCAAGGTTGAGAAGCTTCCGAAGAAGTGCCCCCCCCCGGGCACCGGGTTCCGCACGCAGCGGTAGTTGGGAGCCGAAACCAGTCGGTCTGGCGGAACGAAACCAGCTGTTGGCTCCCGAGAGTCTCATCGTACTCTCCCAAGAAGAGTTCGTGTGCCATGGTGGTCAACGTCCCCACCGCCTCGAGGAGCGGGGTCGAAGGCGCGGCCGGGGTCGAAAGGTGCGGATCGATCCAAACGCGGCGTGGGACGGTTGATGAGCACACTTCACTGGAAACAACAAACGTACGTGAGGCAGGTGCCTTTGAGGTGAGGCAGGTGCCATGTCAGAAGCTTGAATGACACTGAACCACCTCACGTAGATCCCAAAGGGCAAAGGAGTTTTCAGAGCGGGGATGCTCATCTCTCATCTCTCATCTCTCATCCTCCATCTTACCAATGCACAAGATCTCAACATGATCTCCAACAGAATATGTGCAAGGCAAGGTCTTTGTGGAAACACATTGAAGTCTGCCATGTCAATTTTCTCTGACTTTGCATCGCCCGACAATGCGTCAAAAGGGAGGTGAGCCGCGATGGTCCAAGCTGCGAGAAGAACGAATCAAACATGGAGTGTCTCTTGAGCCCTCTTTTTTGAAGGAAAACTGACCCCAAAAAATACACAATGAACTAAAAACACAAAAAACATGACCAAAAAACATGTGGCCCAGAAACACCACCAGGACGTCTCACCAAAAAGTAATCTTTACGTTTTGGTGCTCCCTCGGACCATCGGTGCTACCGCCAGGTCGGTAGCTGAGTCCACATGTCTAGCTAAGCTTCTGGATCATGGGGCCTTCGATTCAACAAATCGGTGGGCGGAAACACCTGAAAAAACAAGACAACTCAAGATGAAGCTAATTACAGTGGTTTAACATGCTTGAAACATGGATTCGCCATGCGAAGACATCGCCCTCCGCCTCCCACGTTTCGATCGCCGCGTGCGCACCGGTCCACGCACCTGGCCTCCTCGAGGACCGGTGTCGTCTTCAGGTTCGCCGAGACGCCGAGGTCAATCAGCACCAAAGCCGCTTCGTCTTCGTCTGCCCTGGGCACGACCGCTGTGTCGCTCCTCGTCTGCTCGTCCGACCAAGTTGAAGGTCCGAGGCCGCTCTGAGTCGTGTGAGAGGCCGTCTGAACAATGCAATTTCCGGATCAGCCTGGATCTTGCAACATGTCTGCCTTTTCATCAACCAGCCAAAAGGATCCCAAAGGCAGACATGTTGCATAGTTAGAAGATCTAGGTACTGTATAGTGAATTGGGAAAGGAGTCTATTTATACCTATATCTATTTGGAAAACCCTCAGTTAACAAAAAAAACACATCCCCACGTACTAGGATATGTCAGAAAATGATTCTCCTATAAAAATCACACCCTAGTTATTTCATAGAGGAAATCCATGGAAATCCTCATAGATCTTACAAGAGCTTTTAATACCCAAACACTCCATGTATGGCATTCATGCCTACATTCACCCCAGGTCAACCACCCCAACTGATCGGTAATAATACGCAATACATGGACTGCATCCGCCAGGACACGAGGTTCGCATGTAGTTCTCAGCCTTGATGTCCTGCGGTCGCACGGTGAGTCGCACGTTTGTGTTGGAGGGGGTCGTGTATCACACATACGATATGTCAAACAAACAACTCTGTGAACCATGAAACACAAAGGGTTCTTCAGTGATGTTCAGTGGTGAGTGTGTCAAGCATTGCTGAGCGTAAGAAAAAAGGCTAACTCCCTTTTTCAGCAGCGAATGCATCACATGAAATCATCAACTCATGTGTCTTGTTCAGTCGTACGGTCAGTAACAGAATCAATGAGGTCAATTGGAACATCTTGGGTGTGCACTACAGGGAGACCCATCAATGGGTAGACTGGTCTATTTCCCGAACCTTCCAAAAGGTCGAACTGGGAGCTCTGTTAGTTCAATACACCCCAATCATATCAGAAAAAAGATTCAGACGATTCAAAGCTTGGGGATGCTTGGGGGTAAGAGAGGTCCAGATTCGAAGACGACCTCGACCTCGAAGAGACGAAACATCGAACCGATCTGATCATCAACCTCGATGTTTCAGGACAGGACAGGACTCGAGTTCAACTCACACATCTCACATGTGAACAAACCACCCTTCACCGCAGAACAAACCTTCTCGATTCATTCTCAATTCAAATTTCTATGAATTTCTATGCCGTCAGACGTGCCATCTTTCCCGCCCTCAGAGCCTCGCCCTTGGTTTTTGGTTGGGAACACCGGCCCAAAAGACGACAGTGAGACCCCAAACGAACAGAAGCGGCAGGGCTCTCCCGATGGACGATCTTGTGGTAGTGCAAATAGGCGATGCCCGAAAACATTTGCCAGGCATAGCGAGCCAGGCGGTCGTCCCTCAGAGCATGAGGAGCAGTTGTTGTTGTTTGTCCGAGCGATGTTGGGTCGATGTGTTCAATGACTATAATGTCGTGGTACTGTTTGTTGTGTCTTTTTCTATGGGAAGTGAACGGGAAATGAGAAAACATTCCAAGCAAATGGTGTTTTTGTGGTGTTTCTATGGGAGGTCTCCAAGCAAATGGGTGCTGCATGACCTTCCACGTACCCATTGTGATGTGTTTGTCGGAGCTGCATCTCAAAAGGGCCCGGTGCAGCGTGAAACACCTTTCATCGAACGTGAGCACCGGGCCTAACACTCTTATAAGACCTGTTGGAGGGTGCGGGTAGATAGCACGCACACAATAGATGCGGATCTTCGCCAAAGGCAGCTCAGCAGCGGGATGCCCACTTGATAGCCTCCCATTTCCTGCGAGAGATCACCGCGGAATGGATTTAAGATTATTTAAGGCTTGACTTTGACCCAAATGGAAATTCCCTGAAATTCCAACCTCCAAGTACTTCTGCCCCAAACTCCTCCTCTGCAAGCTGAACTGATCTCCCTATGCCGCCCTCCTTATCAGCCTGCCATCCCCTGCCCAATGGCGGTGTCAACTCCTCACAAGTTCTCCAAACACCAAAGACGCCTCACCGGACCAACAACCCAGAGGCCCGTAGATCACTCGACGAGGTCGAGGTCCAGACGCGGGCCCCGGAAGTCTTTCATCCACCAGTGGAACTCAGTGGATTGTCATTCGCGACCGGAGCTGAACACGTCCCGGTCCCCACGCTTGAAGTTGTGCGCTAAGACCTCTCCCATCAGGTCACCACCTGAGCCGAAGCGAGGAGCGAAGCCAGGAGCGAAGCGAGGAGTGAAGCAAGTCCGGTGAAACGATTGAGCTGACACCACCATTGAGGCTCAATGTGACACCAAATCTGCATGGGACTGGCGACCTGCAAGTGGGGTGACTTCAGGAGTCTGTGGCGTCCTGGTGGCACATGTTTGGGCACATCTTATATACAAATTTTAATCGATACAGTATGCGTCGTGTGTCATTACTGTCAAATATATATATTAGAAAATTTTGTTGTTATTATATATATAATATTAGAAAATATTATTGTTATAGCAGGTTGGAGGCCATCGCTCATACTATTGAGATCTAGGGAGGCCTTTTTGAGCGTTGGCGATTTGGAAGGCCGCAGCAGGCTCCGGCTCCGGCTACACTGCCGAGGTGCCAGGATACAGTTCCATCACCAGCCAAAAGGAGCCTTCCTGGGCGTTGTGTTTGTTTGTGTTCTATTATTGAATTAAGTGGGTGGTGAATCTAGGCCACATCGGTTGTCCCAAAAAATCTGCTAGGGATGCGCGCAAGAAGGTTTTAAAGCGAGGGTATACGGTATACATGTCATTGTGATTCACTGTGCATGCAATTCAATGGAACATGTTCTTCGTTTGATCTGTTTTCACATCGACCTCACCTTTTTCATGTGGGTGACCGGGTGACCGACCGTCTGACTGACCCGTGCCGGGTCGAACCCCACACACCGGGTCCTGACTGACCGGTCGGGAAGGGGTCCATTGGGACCAGCACCGAAGGAATGGAGTGAGTCGCCGGCGTCTCAGAGCGAATTGATATAGGTGGAAAGGAGGAAAACCATGGTGAAAGACATCGTGGTGAGTTCTGAGCATCTTTGCGCAACATAGTGTAACTCTCCCCAAATACACCAAATGGATCGGATAGCACGGTTCCCAATCAATTTCTTATAGTGGGGGACTTTACTATTCTATCGGGGGGTCTGTATGAAGAGCAACCTTTTTCTCTGGGTAGGCCAGTCTCTTCGTGCCACGTGACCGGCCTAGGGAATCCAGTTTCAGGCGGAAGCGACGCTCAAACAATAGACTGAATAGATATTGGCCTGTTGATTGGAGAGATGTGTATGAAGATGAGATCATAGAAAAAAGCAACATCTCTTTCCCAAAAGAGGGTCAATTGGATCGGGTGCCTCAATTTGGATCATCACGATGTCTCACTGGGCTCAGCTCACTTGGTCGTTGGACTTCCACCAGCTTGAAGGAAGAGAACAGTTCTCCGCCTGTGCCTCTCTCAGGCACCCCAGCCAGGAGTTCTACCCCAATCGCGCACATGGTTCTTGCAGGGGTTCGTGTCCTCGGGGTACCTATGATATGATCATCCATTCACGGGATGGGATGAAATACCACCCCAATCTGGAATTGGATGGAGCATTGCGCTTCTGTTTCTTCTACTTCAGCCTCTCACTTCACACCACGCACCTGCCGGGCCCTGGCTCTCCGTCCATGGCTCATCCTTGTACGCAGTCAACAGGTGAACGATGTTCGGATGCCGCAGCTGCCGGGCCTTGCTCTGAACCGCGGCCCGCGGCAGCGGGTGCGGCAGCTGCCGGGGATTGTTGTTGTCTTCAGATGCAGATGAAGAACATGAAGAAACCTTCATGCCAAGCCAATACCAGCACAAGACTTCACAGGTCACCGCCGGCAAGTATAGGCCTCCAAAAGCGAGCAGAAGAGACCTGTAGAGTCGGGTGCTGGTATAGATGAAGGTTTCTTCATGTTTCTCTATGACTTTCTTGCAAGCATTCGGTGAAACCGCTCAGGGAAATTGGGAAGAAACCCCAAAACGCTTCAGGGGTGCCCAACACATCACGGACGGGCTCAGGAGCACCTGGTGTTTGCATGCAACCACCTGCCTCGCAAGTAAGTAGACTCGTGCAGTTGAACGGTGAATTCCAGTTGAGCCAGATGTTAGAGCTTTCCCATGAGGTCAATGTGGGTGTGTAGCTCGGTCCTAGGGGAGACCTCCTAATTAGGCCCCCCTGGGTTCGGAACATAGACCAGTCTACCCGGTCTGAGGAAAGATCCGGTCTCCCGTATTTCATGTACACACCGTGTGTGGTCATGATACAAAAGGTGATTCAGACGGCGATTCCGGGGCCTGAAAGTCGCCTGAAAGCGAAGCGAAAAACCGCTGAACGACGACGAAGACGAAGACGCCCTCCGAGGCCTGATCCAGCTCACGCTGAAAGACCTCGGTGCAGGGCGAACGGGCGAAAAAGCCATGTGGTTTTACCTGGTCTTGAAAACAAGCTTAAGTCGTGTTTTTGTGTGACCATGTCCAGTAACATGAGGTCAATGACCTGTAGGGTCTGGGTTGTGTTTCAGCCTGTTTCAGGTCATCCATGTCAATATCCATTTAATCTGATATCTCCAGATGGTCCTTCTTCATGGGCATTCCCAAGAAACAACACACCAAACGGTTGGAGTCTCCTGGGACCGGAGAACGAAAGATGTAGCCATTGAGCCATGGGGACCTGCCGCCTTGCAAAAGGATGGCTTGGAGATTGACCTTCTCTGCAGCTCCAGCGGATGGTTGCGGTTTCGGCTCCAAATGCAGTGGCAAAAATCGAATCATTTTGGGGTTCAAGCCATAGCATGTCCACACTTGGAGTCTGTGATATATTACAAACATGTGGTCCGGCTGCCTCCACTGCGAGGTGGCTTTTCACTGTATTTCATGCAACATCTTCAGTGTGGGGCCCCAACTCATTCCGAAGCCTTTGACCACACCAACGGCGATCCTTGATGGATTCCTGTAGTATGATACCCTCCTCAAAACTCTTGGTTCAAATGCCATGTGGTAGTTTCTATGTAGGCTTTGCCTGAGATGGATTGTGGAGATTGCCTCGCCAGTTCTCTTCGGCTGTACCGGTCTAACCCGGAGTCGAACAACATACAACCATGCTGCGCAAGGTTCCGCCGCTGCCGCCCGCCCGCCCAAGACGCGCGCAAGCGGGCCTCTGGGTCGGTCTTCTCTATGTCGACCGACTTGATCGCACACAACTTCCCGTCCTCGGGTCCCGGGATGTGGAGCAAGGAGGGGGCATGTCATCGCTGAGGTGGAAATCGTGAACGGGTTAACAAGTAAACTGTCACATGCCATGCATATATATATATATACACCTACATTGGGGATCATTGGGATGGTTTTGGGGGGTGAATATAGGCATATATGGAGTGTCTGGGATAAACACAAATTAGTTACCCCAAAAAATAAGACACCTGTGACCTTCAGGATCTGGGAATCTCAAACCTGTTCCCCACCCATCGACCGAAGCCATCAAACTCGTCTTCCTCGGACCGGTGTTTTTGTTGAAAACGGGAGCGGAGCGCTCTCCGGGCGTCGTGCTGCACGTTGGAGTCCAAGCACCCCAGGAATCCGGGACTGCATGGATGATATGTACAACCAATAGATCTATATATCAACCACCCCAATGTACATAGGCCAGTTTCATGGATGGTCTGGCTTTAACCGTCTGAGGCGTGCCAATACTGTTTTTTTTCCTCAAAAGCTTCAAATGAGACGATGATTGACGGACTGGAACAGAGTGGGCCCCCAAATGTTGTGTCTTTCTTCTTCTGTTGTCTGGGAGTCAAGGTTTGTGCAGCATAGGAGGGGTCATTAGGAGGCTCTTCTGACTTGGTGTAGCGCTTTTTCAAGGGCCATCATTGTTCGATCCAACCCAATATATAAGAATGAACTGCAAGTTAAAAACAAAAAAAGGTAGACATTTGGGGGGGGTACCATAAATATATAATGTATTATATATATAATATATAAGATTATATGATGCTGATTCAGCAAAACAATGCAAAACATCACATGGATTCTCATTCATCTGATTCCAGCAAGAATCACATATTTTGTGGATTCGCCCATCTGTGGACACATCTGCGGACAGCAAAGTCTCTTTGAATTTTCCGCAACATTAAGACCTGCTCAAACAAAGACCGGAACACCAAACATGATTCGGGTGTCAAACAAACTGCCAAACAAACCCAAACCTAATTCTTCTACCACTGGACCCTTAGGGCTGCGAAGGGGACTCCATGACCCAAAAACTTTATTCTCGGCCATCTTCATCAGGCCATCTCATGATCCACCAACCGGCTCCACCTCATACCACCAATTTGCTCTCTGACCACTCCTCCCACTACTCCTCCCACCGCCCGGAAGACCAACCGAACACCGCGTGCTCCGAAGACCGCGGTGCTCCGCGCGTGCTCTCCGGCGCCTTGCGGCGCTTGGCGCGGAAGACCTCGCCGAAGCCGCCCACGCCCAGGGACTCTAAGAGGTCAAAGTCTTCCTTCAGACGAGTCGGAACCGTGTGGAGGTCAGCGGTGGGGACAGGAGCAGTTCGGCGAGTTTGCGAGGAAGCGAGGGGAGCACCACGCTGGGGACAAAAGGTTGGCACGGACCATCGGCGACAGGGGGGAGAAACGAAGGGGTGGGAAGCCAGGTGACACAAAAGGTTTCTGAGTGCGTGGGTGATGGGATCTGGTGTCGAGTTATCTGTGGTCCAAGAAAAATCGTATAACCAAAGGAATCTCTTGATCCCTATAGGCCATCCTAGGCATATCACCCTTTGAAGGCCATCCTAGGCATATCCATTCATATCTTTCATCGCTTCTTTTCCAGCACAACTCGAGTGAAAGGCCAGCAAGGTCGTCCGAATATCTTCCAAGTGCCTGCAACGAAATCCTATTGACGTGCAGCAAGTGCCTACCTGACGGGTGATCGTTGATATCGTTGAATCAATGTATATATATATATATAGAATCCATCCAAAAGCCACCAACATATGGCGAACACACTGGGGAACGCATTCTGTCACCATAGCTATGACCATTTGTTCTGCGCTGACTCACGCGCTGACTCACTCAGTGAACTGCCGTCATCGCTGAACTGCCCAGGTGCATGGACGCGTCCATGATGATGAGAGATGACTGAACCTCTGCCACGCCGCCTGATGAAAGAAACATCGAACAAAAGCATAAGATCAAATCAAAACAATGCCCCTTGCAATTCGGCCTCTAACCTGGACTGTCTGATTCTTTAGGAATCCATGGTGGCCACTGCCAGCTTCGACCTTAAAGAATCCTGAATCCACAGGGCCCATACCAACATTGTAGCTTAAAGAATCAGGACTCTGCCAACACATACTGGGTAGTGGCCCTAAAAATCAGAACACGTTGAGCACAGTGCACACACCTCTTTGGAACCTGGACTCCTTCTAAAGAATGGGAACACCCACTCCACACACGTACCAGTCCATGATGATGACTGTTCAAGAAGGATTGTAACCAAAGGGATTTATCCATGATCACGGCAATCTACCATCTAATACAAAATTCGTGATCATCATTGAACATTGTGATGTTATGACATGCTGACTTTTGATGCTTTGCCATTGGATGCCATTGGATGCCATTGACATTGATCTCCAGGCTGAAGGACGCGAACGTGTGGCAAAAAGTGCACCTCTAAAGAATCAGACTCACTGCCAATCTAAAAAATGCATGGTGAACTCTAAAGAAGGCCTGTTTTTTGACAACCCGGGTTGTCTGATTCTTTAGGGGAAATTGCAAGGGGGATTCAAAATACTTCAATTTTGCACCGGAGAAACAGCACAGAAGTTGTTCACAGGTCTTGAAAGATGTGTCTGCTATGCATCACTATATAGAATGCAGGAAATGATGACAAATGTGGAGTGCAAAAGCACAAACACTGCAGTAGGGCCGGGTTTTCACATTCACAATTCACATGCATAGCTTTCACCTATCCACTAGGGTCCACTAGGCCATTGGGGTGATCCCTAACCCGTTTCCGTCACGTACTGCTAAAGGACATCTTGCGACACAACCCACAGTCGAAATGGGGGCTTAATACGGGGCTTAATCGTTTCCCAGGTGAGGGGATATTCATGACATCAACATGACAAAGAACACATTCACGTGCCAATGTGCCAATACTCATGGATTAGAAAACAGCAATCCTCTGCTGAAATCTGTCAGCCCCAAAGCGAATCAGAACATGATGTCCGCTCTTCAATGACCGACCTGGCATTTGGAGAGCCAAGGTCTATCCCAGTGCACTCATCTGCACATCTGCACTCATCATCTGCACTCATCCGGAGGGCGTTTCGGCGGCCGAACGACCCACAACTGCGTTCCAGCCGGCCTCAAATCCAAGCCCATGCCTTGCAAAATCATCGCTGAGGCCGAGGAATGAGTCCTTAGGTGCAGGAATTTCACCGCGAGCGAAGTCCATGTGTGCTTTTGGATGAGCTCGTTCGACTATATAAAAGTCTGCATTATTCTGCAAGAAAAACAAAGCAGCCCAACGGCCCCAATGGAATTTGATGTTTTGTGGGGGGGAGTCAGGAGTGCAACTTGGTTCCGGATCACCCAGAATTTGTGCGAAAAGAACCCGACGTGAAATTCTGAGATTGCTTGGCGGGTCCTTATTTCGGTACATGGCACAAGGCCCAGCAGCGAGGCCCACTTGCATGTCAATTGGGCACTGGATTGTACAGTCGAACCTTTTCCAAGAGGACTATGAAGTGGATGAAAATCGTTCCTGAAGGAATTGGCCAATGCCACGAATGCCACCAACCATATCACCTAAAGCTTTGGTCAATCTCCCACGTTTTGCAGTTAGTTCTCACCTTCAAACGTCCCCGTTTTCTATCGTTTTCCTCCACACCTTCTCACGTCCAGGCTCGACTTGCGGGATTGCATGGACGAGCGCTTCGTCTGGGTGGATCCACGCCCTCCTTGGGTCACATCGCCGAAGAAGATGTCGCGGACGGGTGAGACCGGAGTCTTTGAATGGTTCGGAGTCAGCACACTCATAAAAGACTCCGTTTCTCAGGTGGACCAATGTGGGTGGAATAGAAATACTCCAAATAGTGCCTAAAGGTCTCCAAACCATCGGACTGGCCTATGCTGCAAAACAAAAACTGGGTGGTGGGGCCAATCGATCGGCAATTGTATGCCAGTCCCATGGATGGTCTGGGCTTTTTTCTTTACAAGCACACATCCAAAGACTGCAAATGGATGAAAGATCTTTCAAAATCTGTGGAAATTCTGTTAAACGACCTCTCAAGTGACTTGCTCGGGGCGCCGTATTTCTTAATTCTTTGAGACACGTCCACTACATAGGCCTACTGCTGGGGTTCCAACATTTTTCCCAACGACCCCAAAGGGCTGAGGGTCCTGGACCTAGGCTGGTTGGGGTTTCTACTGCGGAACCTCATGCACTGCAGGGGATTCGTCCGTCCGGGTGATATTGACCAATCTTGTGTGATGGTGCTTGCTTGGTAGTTGGGGCGCCACATTACATCCCTTGTTGTAGAGGATAGTAGTAGTCTTCCAGGGTCACATCGTCCGCTTCCATGTTAGTGAGTCAGAGAGCAGCTCACTTCAAGCACACCGGTCTCTGGGAGATTGGGAGAAACTCGAGAAGTGTCTTTTTCGATAAGTTCCCTGCGTTGGGTCTGGACGCGGTACTAGTGTTGTCAATGCTTTCTTTGATTTGTCAGCGAATGCAGGTTCTCTGCACAAGTCACAAACTGCAAAGCTCACGGTTGGACAAATGTTGGAAGTTCCAGAGATCCTGCAAAAGTCTAAGTGAGTCTAATATCCTTGAATGTCCTTGAAGCCAGCCGTGAGACAATCTCATCACGTACACATCATCCGAGATTCATCATTGCTGCTCCCAAAAGTCCATTGCCACCCGGAACGGAGGGGAATACAATCACACATCGCCGCAGTGACTCCACCTTCCGCCCTCCGAAACACCGAGGCACCTTCAGATTCCTGTGTGATGGCACTGGTGCGAGCACTGCCTCGTTGTGGTTCCGGTGGTGTGCCATCTGTGCCGGCCGTGGCGGTGGACTGCGTGGTGGCGCGGCCTGACTGCGTGGTGGCGCGGCCTGACTGCGTGGTGGCGCGGCCTGACTGCGCCGAGCCCCGCGACTTGGCTGAGCCCCGCTTGGCCTCGGTGACGGATTTTTGGGTGCAAAAGGGATAAGAAGAAGCTACGAACGGGGCTCCTGGCCATACTACTAGTAACAATGAAGCTATTAGAGAATTCATTAAGTGAAAAGAAGGGCAGCAAACCGACTTACAGTGAGCAATGGCACCCTCCCTCACCAAACCCATGGGAATCGGCCGCACCCTCCAACAGACGACCACATCGGTGGGTTCCAGAGGTCCACCGCGCCGGGAACCGCCAGTTCAGTGCCCAGGTGGCGGTGTAAACGCGAGTCTCGATGTCACCATGCGTGCTCCTGGGTCACGTGTGTAGTATGCGGCATAGTAGGTTGATTCTACGGTCACAAGGGGCAGCAAAAGGAGGGCTGGAGTTTATTCGCATGCGTGAACAGATGCGCCAAATCAAACAAGGGGACACTCCGATCAGCAAAAATTGCCAAGAGCATGCATCCAACATCATGCAACAGCCATTGGTGAAGAGGATGTTTTGGTTTCAATCAAACCTACTGACGCCTACTGGGCCCCAGAGAGGCTAGTCCCTGACGATCATGGATCCAGGACCCAGAAGCTTCCAGACCCGCGCGAAAGCAAAGCTCACGCCTACAGAAGTGGCTCTGGCCAAGATGTTGAACACATCAACCATTCACCAATTCCAAGACCTTCCATGCTTTACCTCCCAAAAAAAAGGCTCCTGGAACTGGACCTTGCCGCTGTTTGTAAAGGATTTCAGGGTCTTTCCAGGGACCAGCTGTCATCCATTGTCACTTGCGACGGAGGGTCAGCCTTCTCAAGACTCTGAAGCTTCCATGCTCTTCGTCTGTGCACAAACTTGCCACTCCGACTCCCAACCACACAAACAACAGTTGCTTGCAATCCGCTCCACTCTGAGAAGAATAGCATGCTCCAGCAATTTCCCTCCCAACAAACTGCATTCACACAGTCAGGGAGACCTCCGAGGGCACGACCGGAAGTCTACCCGGGCCAGGGGGTCTCGCGGATTTCAAACACAAACCCATGGACCGCGCCGTGGATTTCCCCGCGCCTCACGGTGTTGATGCGGTTGCGGACGATGGGCGCCGCATCGTCCAAGACTTCCACGATGGTGGAGCGTGCCTCGCGGACGATGGAGCAGGTGCAGTGACACAGGGAATTGGGAATGGGATCGAGACCTGAGTGGATTGGTGGAAATATCTGGAAATCAGGGTGGATTTGGGGGCTTCGCTTGGTCAAATTACCTCCTAGTTGGGCATCTAGTTGCAGTTGTGATGATGATGATGATGATGATGATGATGATGATGATGATGATGATG